AACACTTTGCCGCGAAGTTGCACGAGTGGATCGAAAAGAGATGACCTCGCGTTATTTTCTTCATACATATTTATATTTCTCAACATCGAATGTTTTAATCGCGAATTAAATCGCACGTCTCTCGCGCCCATGAATTTCGAGCGCCCCGGTGAAATTTATGTATTTCTACCGCGGATGGCGCGCGAATTATGTATGGGTTTATGAATCCCAAAACGGCGCGTAGGGTCTCGAGGGCTTCCGGGGAATCCATGAATCCATGAATTCGCGACCTAGGGCCGGCCGTTCATTCCGCTCACCCCTTGAGAGAACGCGAGCGACCAGCTCGCGACGAATAAATCTCTCTTTCTCTTAATTTCTCTCTCTCTCTCTCTCTCTCTATCTTTCTCTTTTTTTCTCTATCCTTCTCTCTACTTTTTTTTCTCTATCTCTAATTTTATCTCTTCTTTTCTCTTTCTCTCTTTTTCTTTATCCTTCTCTCTATCTTCCTCTCTATCTTTTTTTTCTCTATCTCTAATTCTCTCTCTCTCTCTCTCTCTTTCTCTCTCTCTCTCTCTCTCTCTCTCTCTCTCTCTCTCTCTCTCTACCACCACAATCTCTGACTGAAATTTTTTTTGACAAAGGTAGACCGCTGTACGCGAAGTGGGTCGGAGGTACAAAATGGACGCGCTCCATTCTTGCCACGATTTTTTATTTTTTTTCGACATCTCGATCCGATAGAGCAGGACCCGAATGATGAACAATATATGCCACGCGCACACACGAGTACTCAAGTACACGACGATACACACGATACAGTCGACGATATTGGATCGTAAGGGACGATCGATTCGCACGATTTAGAATCTCTGGTTAAGTTTCGGTACGATGAGAAAATGGTGTTTTACGATTCATCTAGAGTTCCAAGATTGCACATTTTGAAACGACACGTGAAAGCAATGAGAAAGAGAAATAATCCGAAAATATCCGGCATAAGAAAGGTATTTCTATTTCGAGAACCGCGGGCGAAACACCTCATGTGGCACAATTCGTTCAAAAGTCGGTCCCCGGCAATTGATTTCTTCCAGTGAAAATATCGAGCGTTGCGCCATACGCGCGTTACGAAAGCTCGTTTCGCCTGCTGTGCTCGTATAATCGTGAAATCTACTTTAACAATTGCAAAGATAATGCGTTGTTTAAGTCGAAGGCCGAAAGATTAGATATTTCGGCTTTCCTTTTATCCAGCAGCGAGAAAGCGAGCGCGCGCTCGGAACGCCGAGACTCTGTCGTGCGAATCGTCGTCCCTCTGTTGCATTCTGTCGCATGCTCTCGCTTTTCGCCTCGCTAATTCGCATTAACTGTGTACGCTTGGCCATGTCTCTGCTAGTGCTTTTTACGCGCCTTCCCCTCAGCAATTTCGCTTCGCGCGTGGATGCGTTTGCATCGCGTTTTAACGCGTCACAGCACAGCACACGACTCGACTGTTCTCGCACACTATGAACGCCGCTCTCTCATCCTCTCTCTCTCTCTCTCTCTTTTTCTCTCGCCGAATAAAATGATCAGCGCCCCGCTAATTAACTCGAAAGAGTACTGTCTTTCGAACTAGAGCCACTAAATTTAAACTCTGCTCTCAAGCGGCTAATTGGCTTCGGCGAATCAAACGGATGCTTCTGTAGATAAACCGTCAACGCAGTAGAAGCAAATTCTCGTAGACTTCTCGCAACATCTTGCCCTTTTAAGCAAAAACGTAGATAAATTTCCAAAGTTTAGCTTTCAGGAACGCGAGCTCTCTCCCGACGGACCTCGTTTTCGGGAGATTTCGAGACGACGTGGGGAAAATCTCGAGAGAGAGATACGTACACTCACTTTGACAGAAATTTCAAAGAACTGAAACGTCGTCTGCCGCCGGCTCTCTCTCTCTCTCTCTCTCTCTCTCTCTCGGCTGTTACGCGATAAAAATATATGCAAGATGTAACGGTTCGTTACTTGTCAGATGCCAACAGCTCTCTCTCTCTCTCTCATTCTCAGTCTCTTTTCTTCTCTGTCACGCAAATGTTCAACGATACTCTATTTCGCGTTTGTATTTCTAACGGCTCGAGCGCTACCTTCCGTATCGACTCGCTCTTATCGAACGAAACAGCCACCCTTGACGCGCCCTGTAACGCCCTGTCCCGAAAACGTCTCGTTTAATCCTGAGAATACTAAGTCGAATCCTTTCGCTCCTCAACGGGACACCGACGACTTAGAAAGATTCAGGAATGCAAATTCTTGAAACAACAGTACTTTATGTCGCGAAATGACGCGAAATGCGTCTGTTTCCCGGCAATACCCTGAAAACTACAATCTGCTTCGACACATATCCTCCATTGCGAGCCCTATTAAAATAGAGCGCGGCTTTTCCACCGCCAACTTTTTCGGAGATAAAATCAAAGTTGTGTTTTTAACTTTACACTCTCCCGCGCGCGACGCACGTTCTCGCTTCTTTCGTTCTTTCCTTTGCCTCTATATGGATATGCTTTCGTCTATCCAAATCAAACGGACAAACCACACGGTGAATTTTGGCGATGTATACTTGTTATATCTCGCAAAGTATACCCTCGCGGATAAACGCCGACTCTGGGCGTTGATGTTCCACCCTGCCGACGACAGTTTATCATGATGCATATAATTATTTTTTATTTATTTTATTTCTCCGAAATTTCTCGGAAATTTATTAAATTTCCGCGCGCACGGGAAAACTCGAGCCGTTTTCGACTCGGCCCCTTAGTATTCCCAGGGTTAACGAGCGCTCTCGTTATAAGTGTTCGGTTGCCGGTCGAATTACGTTACGTTAATATCGCGTTTATTCGGCGTAACGGCACGTAGCGCAGCCCGTGCTGTAAATATTCAATTATTACTCGAATGATCGCGCAACGGCGCGATCGCCGATGCACCGTTATTAATGCCAATATTAATCGCCATATATAAACATTAACACAATGTGTGCACGGGACTGCTGAACAAACTGGCTGCGACACCAGACGATACTAAGGATTTTTAGTCCTCGTCTATGCATGCGGCGACCACGACACTGCATCCAGTCTGCACGTACGTTTGGCATGCGTTTACATGCGCCATCTTGTACTCTCTTTCGGTGCGATCTCTTATCCAGCGCCTCTGAAAATGTCGACCAGCGTTATCTCCTCTTTATCTCGGGAGTTTCACATCTCCAACGCGACTAAAGAATAGCTTCGTTTCTTCGCAGAGGATGGTCGGTGCGACGCGCACACTTTGACACACGTGTCTGCGACTTCGTTCTGCGTTGGATAAACGAAGGCTACGAAGAAAGTACACTTATTGTATAGTGACAGATCAGGCAGATCGGGCCAATGCATCGATAGCAATTGCACGATACGAAAGCAGAATTGCCGCAGCATGAACGCGTTTAGTTGAATGTCGAATGCCGAATCTTCCTGCCGATTCGCTCTGTATCTCTCTTTTCTCTCGATGATCCGCGAAACGATTACTTCCGCCACATCCAATTCCGATGCACAGAATCCGTTTATGTGTTGTGTCCCGACCTCCGGCGATCTCTCGAGGGTCACTCGATCGCCGCTTGTGTCGTGTGCTCTACTATTCACTAGATTCTCATCGTGTCGCGGCTTTCTTTTTCCCTCTCAGGCAGAGTCACTCGTTACTTTTCGTGAGCAAATTATATATAGACGGGCTCCCACTTTAATATCCCGCATGTTGAGGATCACGAATGATTATTATATAATGCATAGTGAGGTGAAGGAGAAGTATGAATTGTCGATTAGCAAACTTGAGAACTTGGGATGGAACGTGCAAGGAACGTGAAAGTCGTCAGGTATCTCGTGGTAACTTTTTCGTTACACGAATCTACGTGCGAGTGCATCTCCTCGCGCGACGTGAACTTTGCTCGTCACTTTCTCGCAAATCCGAAGACACACCACGACGTGGAAAGCTGCAAAACGTACAATTTGATTACGCGCGACTAGTGCCGAAAAGAAGATCGCGCGATTATAACTAGTCGCGGATTGCGTCTCGCTCGGGATATCGGGAGTGAGAACGCGCAGAATAATGCGGAAATCCGTGATTACTCGCCGCTGCGTCGTCGATCGCTCGGACGAACGAACGAACGAACGAACGGACGGATTTAATTAACATTTTATTTCGATGCGCACGAGCGAGCAGCAGGGATTGCAGCGACGCCTCTGCCGTTGCGTTTCTATGCAACGATCAATGAGGGCTCGTGGAAAGAGAAGAATCTCGCTCACTGTCGTCCTCTCTTTCTCTCGCGTTCTCCTCCCGGAAAACGAGCGAGCCAATTTCAGATTAATATTCGCGGCATCCAAAGCGCGATTTTGCTCTTCTGCTTCTTTTTTTATTTTTCTTCTCTTTTTATTTTCTTTTTCTTTTTTTTTTTCTTTTCTTTTTCTTTTTTTTTTATCGTTGCATCGAGAAGAGCGGATCGCGACGCGGCAGCGACACAGCGTTCCTTCCACGTTTGAGAGCGTTTGCGCGACGCCAGGGATAATATACTTGGAGCACATTTAAATCGTGAAACGCTCTCAAGAGCGTCCCGATGGGAGCACATCGAGAAAAACGCATCTAAATAAACAGCCAGAATCCCAAGTGGACCCGCCCGCCGCGATTCAGACGCCTCCGTCCGTCTTAATGCGTATCCTCTCAAGATCGTTCCGTTTTATAACGATGTGCTCTCTCTCTCTCTCTCTCTCTCTCTCTCTCTCTCTCTCTCTCTCTCTCTGCCCCTCCCTTCCCCCGTCTCTTTTTTCTTATTTTCTGTCTAGCTTTGTCTCTTCTTTCTCTGATTTCTACCTCGCGTTCTCTAAAAGAAGACTCTTTTTGCTCACTCTTTTTGCTCTCTCTCTCTCTCTCTCTCTCTCTCTCTCTCTCTCTCTCTCTCTCTCTCTCTCTCTCTCTCTCTCTCTCTCTCTCTCTCTCTCTCTTTTTCGTTCCCATTTTCCCGATACCGATTTACTGAAACGCTCTGCGCACTCCAGGTCGAAGCATCATCACGAAGAAGGGCGATGGCTCTCAAGTGAAGGAATCCACCGATAGCAGCACAACGATTGAAGACGATGACGTTAAAGGTAGGAAATCTCATCGCGTCTTATTCTCTCTCTCTCTCTTTCTCTCTCTCTCTCTCTCTCTCTCTCTCTCTCTCTCTATTTTTGTAAACATAAATTGTGCCGGATTCTCTTGGTAGTATTTGTATTAATTACTAATGAACCAGTCGTAGGCCTCTTCGGCGCGGAGAATAGACGCGTAGGTTGATCTTCAGGATCGCAATCGGTTTGCGAACCGCGAATACTCAGAGATGCAAATCGAATCGGATGAGCCGACCTTTTCAATCGTCAGAGATCCAATGTGCACACATTTACGCAGACACGTATAAATATCTGAAAGTTCTTCGCGGATATTTATGCGTATCAACGATATTTACAGTATACATCAATATTAATGAATATTATCATTTATTAATATTAATTAGCATTACGGAACGATTCGGCGCGATGTCGTCGTCGACGTTCCGACGAAAAGTCGCCCGGCGATTTCGGTGTCGAAACGAGCGAGTTGGCTTGTTTAAAAGCCAATCGTCGGTATTTCCGCGGCCACGTTGAAGTGTATGTTGTGTTTGTGCTCGAGAGCTCGGAATTGAATCATGACAGTCGCGGTATTGTCGCCACGCGAGCGGAATATAATCGCGACGATAGTTCCGATAACAATGGATACGCAAATTCTTAGCACGCCTGAGTTCGCGATGTACACGCATCTCTTTATCGCGTACTCGTTAAAGGGATTTAATTAAGAAACTTGAGCACACACACATACGCACACATACACATACATACATATGCACGGGGTGGAAAAACTGCAGCTTGATGCTCGACTTAGCCGTATGCTACAGAGCGCGAACAATGCTCGCGGACCATCTTAGATTCGATGATACATATATCCGTCTCTCGACTCTAGAATCTACTTTCTGTCCACGTCATAACTGAGAGTATCCTCATGCTCCGAGGTACAAGTTACGTCCTCGAGCCGATCTTGCACATTCCGCTCTATACCCAATTCAAACGACGCGCGGCATCGTCGAGAGTTGGATCGAGTTGGAACACGCGTGTGTAGGAAGAAATGTCATTGGAACAGCAGCAACGATTCGGCCGGGTAGCGTTGCCAAAGATGAAATACGTCAGAATGACATCGAGAGAGAGAGAGAGAGAGAGAGAGAGAGAGAGAGAGAGAGAGAGAGAGAGAGAGAGAGAGAGAGAGAGTGTGTGTCGTGACTCGCTGCACTCGGGACATGGGAGAGGTCGAGTTACACCTAGACTCCTCGTATGTCCAAGGTGCGCAAAGATGCTCAAGATCTCGAACCGAGTCGATCGTCTCTCCGACCTTTCGGTTCGGTGCAATTTCACGCTGGTGCATCGACGAGTATCGCACAACTGCGCCGCAGCACAGATTAATCACGTTCGCATTCCCGATGCACATAAACGTAAGAAACGCGAAGATATCATTCTCGTTCACGTGCAAAGTCGATCGTTGGACAACAACAACTCGAGTAGTTGAGTACCCACTCGTTGCTTTGGCCCTTTGGCCCTTTGCCCCCCTTCTCCACCCTGCGTATCACTTGTGCTCCGATTGTGCTTGCGAGTACATCACAAAAGATTCGTCGATGGGACAACATTGATCGCGAAAAGCACAGACGGGGATTAAAGTCGGAATATTTTTAGTCGGGAAGAGAATCGCGATCTTTGTTCTCTTCGCAACGACGATGCGACCAAATCCGCAAAGAGTTGCGGGCGATCGCGCGCGCATACGTTTTATGCTTTTCTTTCTTACTCACATACACATATGTTTGTTTATATCTTAATTGTATGAAACGTTGAGAACGCTCAGACTCGGCCAGGGCCACTCGATCGCAACGGCTCGAGACGCGGCCGTTTCGTTAAATTAGCGGTTTAATCGATCGGTCTTTATCGCGACTCCTTTGTGATGTACCTCCGCTTGCAAAACTTGAAGTTGTGCCCCTCCCCTCGGCTCGTAGAAAAAGTCGTTCTCGCCTTGATCTTTCTCTCTTTACCTCCGTAGACACTTTTAACTATATACACGATCATCGATCGTGCCTCGTCGGCACGATCATGTTTCGCTGGTCTCTCCCTGTCCGCATTCGATCGCACGCGTACATTCTTCAAAGATATCCACGAACAAAGAGCAAGACAGTCGGTGTAGTCGGTGTAGTCGATAATGATGGTATACGCGATCCTAGCTAGCGCAGTTTTCTCCAACAATCATAATTAACAGTAATGATTCGGCTAAATTTTTCATCCCACCATTGTTCGATTTCTCGTCGGCGTGAAACATGTTCCGAAGTTAGTTAGTTAGAATGAAGGAAACTCAACTCGGGGTATCCCAAATATCAGAGGTCCTTGTTGTTGAGATTTGAATAATTCAACGCGAGAAAAATTTCAATCTCGGCAATTGCCGCACGTTACGATCGCACGGTTGATTCATTGCTCTTTCGGATCTTTTACACGAAAATACACCAGCACGATACAAACGACGCTCGTTCGTGTGTGTGTGTGTGTGTGTGTGTGTGTGTATGTGTCGGTGCACATCGCATCGTACACGTTTCAAGTTTATAAATAGCCGCATCTACCAGCGTGCGCGCGACACAGATATGTCATACATTTTACATAGAAACATCCATTTAATCGTGTACATTATGTGCCCCCCATCGACCTACAGTACAGGCATCGAGAGTACTACCGTTTCTACGTTATCACTCACAAATCAGCCTCCTCGTACGGGCTGTCTTTCAAGTTTACCGACTAACTCTGACAGTTTCTGTGTCTCTCATGATTTCTCCCACTAAACGGTGATTGTCTTCCCCCGTGTTTCCTCTGATATCACTCACATATACATCAGCACGCACACGACTTGAACGCTTAAACATCATAAAAACGCGCGGCGACACGCAGTGCACTCGAAAGCTATTTTCTCTCTTTGCGAGTACGGCGTGTACGACGAAGTAGACACAGCAGAAAGTAGAGTTGGCTATTCGCGATCGATGGCCACCGAAATATCGCGCTAAACTGTCGAGGAGCGTGATTGAACGTGACGACACTACGTCCGTCGCAAGTGCGATCTTCAGGAACGAATAGATGATGTCCATCTCGTTGAAACGCAAACGAAATGTCCAAGTTCTCTGTTTCCTCCGTAGGGAAGCCCTCACGCGTACGTGACGCTGGCGCGTTCTCCGCTAGCCCCACTCCCTTTTAATTGCGTGCATAAATTTCACTTTTTTGCGGTGTCTTATTACTCTGACACACCGACGTCACGGAACAATGCTCATCCGTGTAGGGATATCGATCGTCTCTCTCGTCTGTTTCTTCTTCCTTTTTTTTTTTTTTTTTTTTTTTTCTTTTATTTCGCGTGTACCCAAGAAAAGTTTGAGAGCCTCCTCTCTCTCTTTCTCTCTCTCTCTCTCTCTCTCTCTCTCTCTCCCCACTCTATATTCTCTTTTAGCAGAGTAGAATTCCCCGAGGAGATTCCGATAGGATTGTACTCTCGAGACGCGTGTGCTTGTTTCACATTGCATCGGCTTGTAACGACCAGAGAGAATCTAGAACAGGTACATAATTAACGGACGGGCGGATAATTTTGCCCCGTTTGCTCGATTAACCGATTAAAATATATCGTATTACCAATTGCGAGTTTTAATTTCAGCGTTGTACGTTTTAAAGTTGTAATTATTCGAAAGAATCGGATACTCTGCGCGAGAAAATGCAGAATAATTACTGGATTATAATCCAGTGGTAGTGGCAAAGAAAGGAGAGAAACGCATTTTTCGCGCTTCACACGTCGAGAAAGTACAATCCAAGTGTCTCTCTGCATGCGTCCATACATTCTTTCCTCTCTCTCTCTCTCTCTCCCCCTCTCTCTCTCGTAGCATATAATTTGCCGGATATTCGAGAGAACGACGTTCTCCTTCGAATTTATCGACACCTTACACGACACAGGGAGGAGACTCATCTCCATCAGCGTCACGCGAATCGCGATTCCAATGAATATTTCGCGGACCGAGGCGCGCGCAATCGGCGGTATCTTGACTTTCAGATGTCTCTGCAGAGTCTGTGCACATTCGCGTCCCGCGCACAAAGCACGACTACGCGATACCGATATCGCTCTCGGAAATGATCGTTGATCCAGAAAAGCGCATTTAGTCGCGACAGCAAACGATTTAGTCCGTCCGTTATGTATGCGTCCGGTTTCAGTCTAATTTCCGACGCGTGCGTTTTTCTACGACGTCCGATACAATCGAGCGGATACATCTCGCTCATTTCGTTCATTTCAAGCACGCGAGAGTATCCGCGCGATCCTGTGCTGCTGATTTACGCTGCCGATGGTGTCGAGAAAAATTGAAAAATTTGTTGGGAGGGAGGGAGGGAGGGAGGGAGGGAGGGAGGGATAAATCGAGAATATATGTACGCAGATACGAAAGTAAATCGACACCATTTGCTTTGCGCATCCAGATACGCATACGCGCATACACGTATACACGTATACACGCACACCCCGCACACAAGTCAGATAGTTCCACATTGCCCGTATCTGTTCCCATAGGCAGAATACACCATAAAGGCAAAGCACCAAGATACATTGAACGGCTACGTGAGAAGCGATAACACACTCTGTTGTTTTGTAACCCTATGTTGTAGCGATGCTCACAAATCCATAACACACAGATGAGTGACGTGCGCGCACGCGTTATTATTGTGACAGCAAGAAAGAATGCACCGTGATTGGATTACAGACACCGAGAGTGCATAGACCGAGTGCAAGTCTCTTCGAGGCGTGTTCATCATATCATTCCGGCCGGAAATGTGATCATTGCGATTGCATCTGATTTGCCTTTTAATTACCCCGCGGTTACCAGACACACGGCGATTATTTAACACAGCTTCGGCTGCATACGGTGTGTAAAGTCTGGTAGCCGCGCTCGTATTTCTTTCTTTTCATTTCTTGAGGGATCTGTGCAACGAGGGTGGCGATCTGTGTGAAAATCTGACAAATTGTGTCATACATT